TTTGAGTGAAGAGCTCGTGTTTCATGAGTGTGTTTGAGTGAAGAGCTCGTGTTTCATGAGTGTGTTTGAGTGAAGAGCTCGTGTTTCATGAGTGTGTTTGAGGGAAGAGCTCGTGTTTCATGAGTGTGTTTGAGGAAGAGCTCGTGTTTCATGAGTGTGTTTGAGTGAAGAGCTCGTGTTTCATGAGTGTGTTTGAGTGAAGAGCTCGTGTTTCATGAGTGTGTTTGAGTGAAGAGCTCGTGTTTCATGAGTGTGTTTGAGGGAAGAGCTCGTGTTTCATGAGTGTGTTTGAGGGAAGAGCTCGTGTTTCATGAGTGTGTTTGAGGGAAGAGCTCGTGTTTCATGAGTGTGTTTGAGGGAAGAGCTCGTGTTTCATGAGTGTGTTTGAGGGAAGAGCTCGTGTTTCATGAGTGTGTTTGAGGGAAGAGCTCGTGTTTCATGAGTGTGTTTGAGGGAAGAGCTCGTGTTTCATGAGTGTGTTTGAGGGAAGAGCTCGTGTTTCATGAGTGTGTTTGAGGAAGAGCTCGTGTTTCATGAGTGTGTTTGAGGGAAGAGCTCGTGTTTCATGAGTGTGTTTGAGGGAAGAGCTCGTGTTTCATGAGTGTGTTTGAGTGAAGAGCTCGTGTTTCATGAGTGTGTTTGAGTGAAGAGCTCGTGTTTCATGAGTGTGTTTGAGTGAAGAGCTCGTGTTTCATGAGTGTGTTTGAGGGAAGAGCTCGTGTTTCATGAGTGTGTTTGAGGAAGAGCTCGTGTTTCATGAGTGTGTTTGAGGAAGAGCTCGTGTTTCATGAGTGTGTTTGAGGGAAGAGCTCGTGTTTCATGAGTGTGTTTGAGGGAAGAGCTCGTGTTTCATGAGTGTGTTTGAGTGAAGAGCTCGTGTTTCATGAGTGTGTTTGGGAAGAGCTCGTGTTTCATGAGTGTGTTTGAGTGAAGAGCTCGTGTTTCATGAGTGTGTTTGAGTGAAGAGCTCGTGTTTCATGAGTGTGTTTGAGTGAAGAGCTCGTGTTTCATGAGTGTGTTTGAGTGAAGAGCTCGTGTTTCATGAGTGTGTTTGAGTGAAGAGCTCGTGTTTCATGAGTGTGTTTGAGGGAAGAGCTCGTGTTTCATGAGTGTGTTTGAGGGAAGAGCTCGTGTTTCATGAGTGTGTTTGAGTGAAGAGCTCGTGTTTCATGAGTGTGTTTGAGGGAAGAGCTCGTGTTTCATGAGTGTGTTTGAGTGAAGAGCTCGTGTTTCATGAGTGTGTTTGAGTGAAGAGCTCGTGTTTCATGAGTGTGTTTGAGTGAAGAGCTCGTGTTTCATGAGTGTGTTTGAGTGAAGAGCTCGTGTTTCATGAGTGTGTTTGAGGGAAGAGCTCGTGTTTCATGAGTGTGTTTGAGTGAAGAGCTCGTGTTTCATGAGTGTGTTTGAGTGAAGAGCTCGTGTTTCATGAGTGTGTTTGAGTGAAGAGCTCGTGTTTCATGAGTGTGTTTGAGTGAAGAGCTCGTGTTTCATGAGTGTGTTTGAGTGAAGAGCTCGTGTTTCATGAGTGTGTTTGAGTGAAGAGCTCGTGTTTCATGAGTGTGTTTGAGTGAAGAGCTCGTGTTTCATGAGTGTGTTTGAGTGAAGAGCTCGTGTTTCATGAGTGTGTTTGAGGGAAGAGCTCGTGTTTCATGAGTGTGTTTGAGGGAAGAGCTCGTGTTTCATGAGTGTGTTTGAGGGAAGAGCTCGTGTTTCATGAGTGTGTTTGAGTGAAGAGCTCGTGTTTCATGAGTGTGTTTGAGGGAAGAGCTCGTGTTTCATGAGTGTGTTTGAGGAAGAGCTCGTGTTTCATGAGTGTGTTTGAGGAAGAGCTCGTGTTTCATGAGTGTGTTTGAGGGAAGAGCTCGTGTTTCATGAGTGTGTTTGAGGGAAGAGCTCGTGTTTCATGAGTGTGTTTGAGGGAAGAGCTCGTGTTTCATGAGTGTGTTTGAGTGAAGAGCTCGTGTTTCATGAGTGTGTTTGAGGGAAGAGCTCGTGTTTCATGAGTGTGTTTGAGGGAAGAGCTCGTGTTTCATGAGTGTGTTTGAGGAAGAGCTCGTGTTTCATGAGTGTGTTTGAGGGAAGAGCTCGTGTTTCATGAGTGTGTTTGAGGGAAGAGCTCGTGTTTCATGAGTGTGTTTGAGTGAAGAGCTCGTGTTTCATGAGTGTGTTTGAGGAAGAGCTCGTGTTTCATGAGTGTGTTTGAGGGAAGAGCTCGTGTTTCATGAGTGTGTTTGAGGGAAGAGCTCGTGTTTCATGAGTGTGTTTGAGTGAAGAGCTCGTGTTTCATGAGTGTGTTTGAGTGAAGAGCTCGTGTTTCATGAGTGTGTTTGAGTGAAGAGCTCGTGTTTCATGAGTGTGTTTGAGGGAAGAGCTCGTGTTTCATGAGTGTGTTTGAGTGAAGAGCTCGTGTTTCATGAGTGTGTTTGAGTGAAGAGCTCGTGTTTCATGAGTGTGTTTGAGGAAGAGCTCGTGTTTCATGAGTGTGTTTGAGTGAAGAGCTCGTGTTTCATGAGTGTGTTTGAGTGAAGAGCTCGTGTTTCATGAGTGTGTTTGAGTGAAGAGCTCGTGTTTCATGAGTGTGTTTGAGTGAAGAGCTCGTGTTTCATGAGTGTGTTTGAGGGAAGAGCTCGTGTTTCATGAGTGTGTTTGAGTGAAGAGCTCGTGTTTCATGAGTGTGTTTGAGGGAAGAGCTCGTGTTTCATGAGTGTGTTTGAGGGAAGAGCTCGTGTTTCATGAGTGTGTTTGAGGGAAGAGCTCGTGTTTCATGAGTGTGTTTGAGTGAAGAGCTCGTGTTTCATGAGTGTGTTTGAGGAAGAGCTCGTGTTTCATGAGTGTGTTTGAGGGAAGAGCTCGTGTTTCATGAGTGTGTTTGAGTGAAGAGCTCGTGTTTCATGAGTGTGTTTGAGGGAAGAGCTCGTGTTTCATGAGTGTGTTTGAGGAAGAGAGCTCGTGTTTCATGAGTGTGTTTGAGTGAAGAGCTCGTGTTTCATGAGTGTGTTTGAGTGAAGAGCTCGTGTTTCATGAGTGTGTTTGAGGAAAGAGCTCGTGTTTCATGAGTGTGTTTGAGGGAAGAGCTCGTGTTTCATGAGTGTGTTTGAGTGAAGAGCTCGTGTTTCATGAGTGTGTTTGAGGGAAGAGCTCGTGTTTCATGAGTGTGTTTGAGGGAAGAGCTCGTGTTTCATGAGTGTGTTTGAGGGAAGAGCTCGTGTTTCATGAGTGTGTTTGAGTGAAGAGCTCGTGTTTCATGAGTGTGTTTGAGGGAAGAGCTCGTGTTTCATGAGTGTGTTTGAGGGAAGAGCTCGTGTTTCATGAGTGTGTTTGAGGGAAGAGCTCGTGTTTCATGAGTGTGTTTGAGTGAAGAGCTCGTGTTTCATGAGTGTGTTTGAGGGAAGAGCTCGTGTTTCATGAGTGTGTTTGAGGGAAGAGCTCGTGTTTCATGAGTGTGTTTGAGGGAAGAGCTCGTGTTTCATGAGTGTGTTTGAGGGAAGAGCTCGTGTTTCATGAGTGTGTTTGAGGAAGAGCTCGTGTTTCATGAGTGTGTTTGAGTGAAGAGCTCGTGTTTCATGAGTGTGTTTGAGGGAAGAGCTCGTGTTTCATGAGTGTGTTTGAGGGAAGAGCTCGTGTTTCATGAGTGTGTTTGAGGGAAGAGCTCGTGTTTCATGAGTGTGTTTGAGGGAAGAGCTCGTGTTTCATGAGTGTGTTTGAGGGAAGAGCTCGTGTTTCATGAGTGTGTTTGAGGGAAGAGCTCGTGTTTCATGAGTGTGTTTGAGTGAAGAGCTCGTGTTTCATGAGTGTGTTTGAGTGAAGAGCTCGTGTTTCATGAGTGTGTTTGAGTGAAGAGCTCGTGTTTCATGAGTGTGTTTGAGTGAAGAGCTCGTGTTTCATGAGTGTGTTTGAGTGAAGAGCTCGTGTTTCATGAGTGTGTTTGAGTGAAGAGCTCGTGTTTCATGAGTGTGTTTGAGGGAAGAGCTCGTGTTTCATGAGTGTGTTTGAGGGAAGAGCTCGTGTTTCATGAGTGTGTTTGAGTGAAGAGCTCGTGTTTCATGAGTGTGTTTGAGTGAAGAGCTCGTGTTTCATGAGTGTGTTTGAGTGAAGAGCTCGTGTTTCATGAGTGTGTTTGAGGAAGAGCTCGTGTTTCATGAGTGTGTTTGAGGGAAGAGCTCGTGTTTCATGAGTGTGTTTGAGGGAAGAGCTCGTGTTTCATGAGTGTGTTTGAGGGAAGAGCTCGTGTTTCATGAGTGTGTTTGAGGAAGAGCTCGTGTTTCATGAGTGTGTTTGAGGGAAGAGCTCGTGTTTCATGAGTGTGTTTGAGGGAAGAGCTCGTGTTTCATGAGTGTGTTTGAGGGAAGAGCTCGTGTTTCATGAGTGTGTTTGAGGGAAGAGCTCGTGTTTCATGAGTGTGAGGGGAAGAGCTCGTGTTTCATGAGTGTGTTTGAGGGAAGAGCTCGTGTTTCATGAGTGTGTTTGAGTGAAGAGCTCGTGTTTCATGAGTGTGTTTGAGGGAAGAGCTCGTGTTTCATGAGTGTGTTTGAGTGAAGAGCTCGTGTTTCATGAGTGTGTTTGAGGGAAGAGCTCGTGTTTCATGAGTGTGTTTGAGGGAAGAGCTCGTGTTTCATGAGTGTGTTTGAGGGAAGAGCTCGTGTTTCATGAGTGTGTTTGAGTGAAGAGCTCGTGTTTCGTGAGTGTGTTTGAGGGAAGAGCTCGTGTTTCATGAGTGTTTGAGGGAAGGGCTTGTGTTTCATGAGTGTGTTTGAGGGAAGAGCTCGTGTTTCATGAGTGTGTTTGAGGGAAGAGCTCGTGTTTCATGAGTGTGTTTGAGTGAAGAGCTCGTGTTTCATGAGTGTTTGAGGGAAGGGCTTGTGTTTCATGAGTGTGTTTGAGGGAAGGGCTTGTGTTTCATGAGTGTGTTTGAGGGAAGAGCTCGTGTTTCATGAGTGTGTTTGAGTGAAGAGCTCGTGTTTCATGTGTGTGTTTGAGTCAAGAGCTTGTGTATATTACAGATACAGTGTGTAAAGACTCTCAGAACACACTGAAGAGAGCCCGGTTTGCTGATGACCTGAAGGAGAAGATCTCTCTCAGACCCGGTCCACTGGAGCTGGTGGAGAAGAACATCATCTCTGTTCATTCCACACTTAAACAAGCCGTCATCACGGGTAATATTAGAGTTATTAGATCTTATAACTCTATATGAAAACGATGCTTCAGAAACTCCTGAAAACCAAAGCCTTTTCTCAGCTGACAGGGATTGTTCTGGCAAAGTTATGATCAAACGTTCTCTCGGTAACATTAATAGAACGTGATCTGTGTTTAATAATGTTCTCAAACATTTTTATTTATACATCATTCAGGGAACATGTGACACATTAAATGTTACTAGACTGGGTTAACTAAAACTGAAATCAAAACCATAAAAAACATTTTCATTATTTGAAATAAAATGAACGTTAACTGAAATAAAATACAAAAATCAAACTTATTTTATTTCAACTAGTTACCAAGTTCTCTTTCTTTCAGTTAGTTTTATGTTCGAAACGAACTAAAACTTAAACATAAATAACAATTTATAAAAAACTATTAATGTAATATAAAAATAAAGATTAATGCACAATATTAATGAAAAGTATAATGGTGTGTGTGGGAGAGAGAGTGTTTGAGTGTATACAATAATCCGAGTTTGTGTGTGTGTGTGTGTGTGAGAGAGAGAGAGAGAGAGATAGAGAGGTGTGTGTGTTTGTGTGTTGTGTGTGTGTGTGTGTGTGTGTGAGCGTGTGAGTGGTTGGTCGTGTGTGTGTAACTGACCTGATATCTGAGCACGTGAGCTGCCAGCAGCAGTGCAGGGACTGCTTTCAATCAGGTTCTCTGCCTGGGGCACACACACGTCACACTCAGTGTGTGTGAGTTATTTCCCTTCACTTGTTGATGTTGGACAGTTTGTGATATTGTGTCGAGGCCCAGCGAGCACTTAGATCATCTCAGTGTGTGTGTATGTGTGTGTGTGTGTGTGTGTGTGTGTGTGTGTGTGTGTGTGTGTGAAGAGAACGCTCTGTGCAATACCATTATTATTTTATTTAGAGATAAAGAGGAGAAGAGAATATGAGAATAAATACAATATGAATAATCATATAATGAGTAACTGTTATTATTATTGTCTTTCAGTCACAGTGTAGAAAGTGTCCAAATTATGTTACTTCGTTGACCTCAACATTTTTAACTCTTTCCCACCAGCTGTGTTTCATAAAAAGGGCTAACGGCACATTTTAATTAGACTTTATTCAAAGTTCTCTGAGAAAAGCAGATTTATGACACACACATTTGGTTGGACTGTAGCTGAAGATTGCAATCTTCAGCTACAGTCCAACCCAAACATTATTCAGACAGCAGATATCAGTTTTGATATTTCTTCACTAGTTGTGATCAGGACACTATAGTTCATTTCTGTAAGAGAGAGAGAGCAGAAATAAAGTAAACTGTGACATATTACACCCATAACATATTCTTCATGCAGTGACTACCAGACATTTATACACATTGGGGCCAATAATGAGTCCTCCACTTTGAGCTGTAATGCTGATGCTCTTTTTACACACACACTGAACAACATGAAGCATTGCTTGGTCACTGGTTGAGCTAAACTGGTCTTATCTAATTGTGTAGTTAAATTTACCAGCTGACAGATATTCAACATAACTCATGTGTGAGAGTCCAACAGAAGGACGGACAAAACCAGTCACATATCAAACACTGATCTGAGAACTGAGTTCTGCTCATATTTATTACCATTTTATAAACTAGAGCGGATAAACTGGATAATGTGAGAAATGTTGAAGGAGTCTGAATACACCGTTTTGACTGTATATAAGGCAGTTTTAATCTGAAGTGTGTACAGCGTCTCCATCTGATGAAACACCTTTGTTTGGAGGTTTGGATGGAGAGGCATAAATCTCAGCAAGTCAAACAGAGAAACAGAGAAACGGCTCATTTGATTCTCGGTGAAAGGGCGGATCTAAATACAGCTGCTGTTTGTCTCAATAAAAACCCAGCAGAGTTTCGTATAAACCGGCGGCCTCGACTCCATACACTGCGTTTACACACCGCCCCCGGGATCATGCGAGAGTGTTTACATCAGTGTGTCTGAACATGTGATCTGAGGGAGAACACACACGGCGCCGAGCGCATAGTAAACACACACTCTGACATCAGGTGCTTGTTTGTGCAGAGGATTGAGGAATCCGCATCATCATCGCCTCCAACAACGCTGACAGGAATATGCAGAAGAACGCGTTGATAATCTTCCAAAAACGGTACTTTTAGGATCGTTTTAGAGACACTGTTATACTTTCCATTCATATTGTGCATTTTTATATTTCCAATTTTAATTAAGATTTTTTGTTTGTTAAAACGGATCTATACGTTAAGGCGTAAAGATTTTTATACTGTACAAATTATATTTTCTATCCCCTACACTAACCCTACCCAACACACACACACACCACACACTAATCCGACCCCTAAACCAAACCATTACACGCCACCCGCCACACACACACACGCGTCTGTACGTCTGTGTGTAAGAGTGTTCAACAGTAGCACATGCATCAGACGCATACAGACATTTACTCAAATATTTACACAGATTCGGAGCCTTGTACTCAAACACTGCAGGCGTTTAGATTTCCATCGTCTCAGATGACACACACACACACACACGACTGTGTGTAAAATGAGAGTAATCTCTGCTCTGTTAAGTCTTCTCGGATTGAGCTGTTATCCGTGTGTGGGTCCCTCTCATCAGTGTTTCCTGAACCTGTGTGTGTGTGTGTGTGTGAGTCCCGTATGTCACTGTCCCTCTTCCCTCAGGCTCCCATGGGAAGCTCCAGAGGCCCGAGGACTCGTATGTGTTTGAGGAGGAGAGCAGCAGCGAGAGTCTTTCTCCAGAGTCGCCATCAGAGAACAAGAGCTCGCAAACACACACCAGCGCTGAACACGTGAGTTGTTCACACACACCAGCGCTGAACGCGCAAGTCGCTCACACACACCAGCGCTGAACGCGCGAGTCGCTTACACACACCAGCGCTGAACGCGCCGAGTCGCTTACTTTTGTGTGTGTGTTTGTGAGGTAATCGACCTTCAGAACCGAACCGAATCGAACTAAAGTTTCAGCTCAAAATACCCCACAGATATATTTATATAGCATGTTCAAATTGCCACTTTGAGGGCGAGCAAAAACTCACCGTTTT